TCAGAGAGCAGCATGATATGGAGCCTGAAGACATCGCACAAAGTTTTAGAATCTTAAGAAAGTGTCAGAACAAATTTGACTGTCTTATTTTTGAAATGTTTTTTATCCAAGAACTGAAACCGACGCTTAACAAACAGTGCGATTCAATTCGCGCCAAATTATTTGTTTAGAGTAGTTCTTGTTAACATTGTTTTATTTCCATTGTTTTTTGACTTTATAAATATTTTTAGCACTTTTTACATTTTTACATATTTTATCACATGTTAGCGTTCACCACATTTTTATCTATTATAACTTGTTTTTAACTTATTTATGCTAATTTAGAGAACTTTTATACACTTGAAAATGACCTCGGAGAGGTCGAAACGTCGTGATTTTTTATCTCTAAAGAATTTCCTCTTTTTTTATTTTTTCCGTTTTTACGCATTAGATGTGTCACCCACAGGGACCCTAGACTGTGAAATAAGTGCACAGAAATGCCAACCGCCTTTTCCGACGATAACAGTAACGCCCAAAGACTCTAAAGTGACTTTGCACTGCTCGATTAAGAATGGGGGAAAAGTACAAGACATGACCTGGCAGGACCTTGAAAAACACCTGAATGCCAGTGACGGAGGTCTGTTCTTACTACAAATCGATTCAAAGAATAGAAGTCAGCCACGTGAATGTTTTTCTATAAAATACGCCAGTGAGTATGTTCTTCTTTTGCCCTGTCTGTATTAAATTGATGGGGAGAAAAATATCATAATGCACCCATCAGTTTTTTTGTGTGTTTTAATTTTCAAATGGATTAAAACGCATCCTATGAATGCGTAGTAACAGGTTTTAGGCAGATTCAAGCTCAGCTGAGGCAAAATTTACGGTTGGATTGAGCGTAAAAACGGTTGAAGTTATAGCCAGCTAAATCTCCTCACTTGAACATGGTTCACCGATGAACTTTAGTTGTTCATGCCATGCTCGAGGGGAAAGGGACATGAAAAACAACAAACAAAGGAATCATTTTAAAAGATGTTAACTTTTTGTTTGGCTTGACTCAGTGCGCAGGGCCTCGCTCTCCAGCATGGCAGGTTTGTGCCACAATTGACTTACTGCAAAGGGCCTATTTAAAATGAACAAGACATGGAGTAAAACATGGTTGGTTGGAAGGTGTCGGTAAGAGAGATGACTGTATTTATCTTAAAAATCGTGAGCCAAGCAACGACGACGGCAGTGAAGATGTCGCTAAAAAATTAAATTTGTCTCATTTCAAATGTTATCGCGTCTATTTGGAGCTGCTTAATTTGTCAAATGTAGGCGATTTCTCCTGGAGTTGAATTCTTAAGGACTTTATTCAGGATCAGAAAGAAAAAGGAGAATTCGTCGTCGTATGTTCACTTTCTCTATAAAACGTCGTGTTCAAGAGGTTGCTATAAAAATTACAAATATATTACAAAAACAAGAAGAAAACCAGCAAATTACATAAATCCTGATCAAAGGTGAAATGTGCGCAGTGGCCAAAGGAGCTTAGGCTTTCGACTTGGTCACTTAAGCTCCTTAGTTTAAGTGACTAAGTGAATGACTTACGAGCTTTGAAATTAAGACGAAGAATTCCTTCTCAGTTCCAGTTCAGAGAACATCAAAGACAAGTTCTCCCGTTGACTACTACCCTGACACGAGAGAAATGGAACTGAAGTGTACCTTCAAGGGATGGCCTCGTCCTCGTGTAGTTTGGTACACTTATCCAGATGAAAAACAAATCATCAACGGATCTGAAGGTTTTTACATCTCAGAGAAGCAGAATGGAAAGGATACCTTAGAGTCCGTTCTTCTCAATCCTACCATACAAGAAAAACACCGTGGGACGTATAAATGCACTGGAATAAACAACATTACCGGCTGGTCGAGTAAAAAATCAGGGTATATTGACCTGAATTATCGCTGTGAGTCATTTAATTTCTTATTTCTAATACAACACACGGATTCGCAAAACTACCTCCTTTGAAGCAGGTTCATAAAAAACGTAATACCATGTTTCCCCTGTAAGCAATGGAAAGTATCCCATTAAGACTAAGAGGGACAGTTCATTCTCTCTTGATTTAGACGGAATTAAATATTGGGTGTTTCTATTTCAAATAACAGATTAACGTACTCCTAACTGAATTTTAAAAAATGTAACTGAAAATTTCGTACCACCTTCCTCTTCCATTCAGACTAAATGGACGCTGGAATTTTTATTTGTTTACCCCTCGGGTCACAAGGGATAAGTAAATAAGTAAATAAATAAATAATGATTTAGTGGCGCTAGCTCATCCACAAAGTGGTTCTTTGTCTACCATTCTGGCTCAAATTTACCCTGCGCAGCTGGCGGGATTAACGTGGGAGTGATGTGTTGTTTTGGTGGCAACGGCGGAACAAGGGTGAGAAGCAACAAAACTCAACCTGGCCAGCCACACATGATGTTGACTGAGGAATCATGAACAGGACAGTCATTAATGAGAGGGAAGTGTTCACACCTAAAATTCTGTAGAACCTCTATATAACGAAGTCCTCGGTATAATAAACAATTATTCCACTTATTCCACTAGTGTGCGTTAGATATGAGATGGTAGGTAACCAACGAGGCGCGTAGCACCGAGTTGGCTTTAATCGTCTCATATCCAACAAGCGCGAGTGGAATAATTATTCTATTAAAAACGCCTACAAAATATCTAGAATTCTTCCCGACTTTATTTGTAAACCAACCGACTTTCATCTTGTTTTTAATTTTGAGCAGACGCGTACAGTTACCATATTTGAAGAGCATGGTATAACGGCCCACATACCATGATGGCTCAGCCAATCAGAGCTCTATAATTGTATTATCCAATGATTCAATTTTAATAATACGCGATATTCTCCTCCCCAGAAATAATACAGTCAAACCCGCAAATCTCGACACTGAACGGGCGGTACTAAGAAAGTGTCTGTATTCACGGAATGATCCTATTAAGCGGGTAGAAAATGTAAGGGCTTTCTTTCCCCAGGGACAAAGCAAACTGTCCGTAACAATGAGATGTCTGTATTGAACGGGTTTCCAGACTGGAGCGGGGTTTGACTGTACAATAAATAAAAGGAACCTCGATATAACACAACCTCTTTAAAGTGAGCATATTTTGCCAGTCCTTTGAGTCTTCGTTCAGCTGTTCGCTATATCGAGATTCCAACGTGAAGTGTTATGTGGTTGTTAAAAAGAGAAAAGGAGACGTCGAGTAGCTATTGAAATCAACCCTTAGTGGCACAGGCCATATTGGTGGGAGGTAAGAGAAGTGGGGTTCATCCGATCAACCGATCGTTAGAGCGTCTCTAAAGACGGCGTGACGAGAAAAGTCGCAAAAGAGGAAACCAGTGGCATAAACAAAATCAACCCGTAAAAACTCCAAAGCGTTTTGATTCCCCATATATTGTCACAAATACTCAGGAGGGGAGGGTAAGAGTAAGAATGTTACCTCCTACGGTTGCACAAAAATGGTAACGATTTTCAAATAATATTTGCTCATCATATCTTCTTATCATCTAATACAGGTCAATTTCCTGAAGCTCCGAAGGTTTCTTCTCCCCAGGTTCCGGTGGAAGCCTACTTCAATGTCACTTTAGAGTGCGAAGCAGGTCTTAGGCCAAGCGACTGTTGGGACAATTCTTTAGGGTGGTATTTTAACAACAACTTAGGGAAATTAGAATCTGGTGAAAAGTATGATATACAAAAAAGGAAAACCACCAGATGCAAAACAGATTTCATCCTCACCATTGTTAACGTTACTGAAGCAGACGAAGGAGGGTATAAATGTCAGTGGGTCTGCGACAAGAACTACCCCAGCTCTTTCAGGTCTTCAACTATCCAGTTGAAAGTATTTCCTCCTTCAGTAGCAGGTACTGATACTCCTGTGATATCTAAAGGTCTTGTGTCACGAAATTTATCAAAATTCAAAAAGTGGAAAACGCCACCAAATTGAGTGAAACATAAAAATAACTGCTCAAATAAGCATTAAATCGGTCCGGGTAGCAGGTAAACTGTTAACCCTTTGATCCTTGCAGTACGGCGGTCGGTAAAAAAACTTATAAAAACTCGAACAAAGCGGGTACTTTTGTGGTTCTTGTTGGTCGTTTACGGTTTTCCTACTTTTGCGTGCTAGATTATAAAAATTCCTTGAACAGTTCTTTTACTACGTTAACACTGAGGTTTTTGGGAACTCAAATAGCCTAAAAGTTTTTCAAAATTCATTTTTTTTTGTCTGTAACTTTCCACATAATGTTTGGGGGACAAATGTGTTTGACATGAAGAGGTGATTTTGTCATTTGCAAGTGATTTCTTTACTTAGGCTGAGTTCCACTGAAAATAAGGACATATTTGGCAATATTATCAAAATAAACCAGCAAACCATGACGTCACAGCCCATTAAATTGTTCTGGTGAGAGGGTACTGCCTTTGTAAGGGAATTGTTTAAAACCATTTGAGTCTGAAACAGGGTAAGGTTTTGCGCCATTTGGATACAGGGTCTGAAATTATATGTTCGTTCATGAGTTTTTTATATTTTTGTTGTAGTTGCTATTGTTTTAAATAATCTGCCTTCAGGTCTGTAAATAGGGTAGGAAAATTCGTACTCTATTGAAACAGGTGGACAGCGAATTCCAAAAATACGCGCACTTGAAATTTCCTTTTAAACGGATAGGGCAATTGGAGGTTAAAGGTTACTTCTGTTTTTGAAATAATTATAGTGTAAATTATAGCTGAAATTTCTAGTCGTGTGGGGCTATTTATTACTACGTGCCAGACAGAAACTCTGTCGCGATACCCATCAAGAGGACGGCGAATCGTAACATCCTCCTTTATCTGCATAATCGTTTCACATGATACAATAGCCGAATCAGAATCCAGCATCTGGGTTGAGTAATATATTACGTTCCAGACCTCTTATATTTTAGAGCAGGTTTTGCACAAGCGCAGTTGTATTAAAAGAATGACTAGCAAATGGTTCGTTTCGTGTTGTTGTTTAAGACCAAAATATCACAATTTTGACGACGAAGATGGCGCTTGTTGGTCAAGTTGGAGGGTATGTGGACGGTATAGAAGATATTGTAAGTTATATCGAAAGAGTGGAATTGTATTTTGCGGCGAATTATGTCAAGGCGGATTACAACGTTGCTACGTTTCTAGCGTTTATCGTAGCAGATGCATATGGCGTGCCGCGAAATTTGTTATCCACAGAACGTCCAAAATATGTCTTTTGTGCAATAGTATGAAAAGCTGACTGAACGACTTGGAAACCGAGCTCTAATTTCAAAGTCATTGATCAATAAGTTCCTGGAGATATCAGCAGATCAGGATGAAAACAATTTGACAACACGCGCAACATTGTGAGAACATTCATGGGGCAGGCTTTAAACCAGCAACTAATATGCAGCAAATTTTTGCAGAGCTACCTCCAAAAATTGCAGTAAGGTGAAGCAGGCAAAAGTTAAAGCTACAGCCCAAATAAGTCGACCTTAGCAACCTAGATGAGTGGCTGAAACCAAGAGTCAAGTCGAAGTGATAGCATTTGGTTGCTCCAGTAATATAAAGATTCCTGAACAAGAGAAACCCAAGTCAAATTCTAACAAATCGAAGTGGCTCAGGAGAAAGAACATACGCAGACTCATGTAATGTTTTGTGAGCTAAGAAAAACATGTACTGACATTGTATGAAACCTGGAAGAATCAACTGTAAGTGAATGATGGTAATTATAAGAGAAGTTGGGTTTGTGTTTTAGAGGCCACAGTAGAGGACATCGTCGGCTGAGACATTCCAATCCTCGCAAGAAGCCACAGGAGAGACGTCATCACCTGAAGTACCACACGAACTGTTGAGGTTCTGAGGACTTGAACTCCTAAGTGTACCACGCCCTGAAAGCGAAGCGCTGCAGATGATACCCACCATATTGATGGTGGGTCTGGGTCGTCCTTCCTCAAGAGGAGATCGCTGATATACTGGGTTTGTACGCACTCTGTGTTACTGCTTTTGGAGTGAAGTCGAATGTAACGGATAGCAAAACTGTAACTGTCCGCCAGCCTTGAGGGTATGAATGGGAGCAACGAGAAGCAATTATTTTTTTGTGGAAATTTATGAAATGAAAGCAATTGATTGGTCCGTCAATGCAAGAAATTAGATCATAATCGCGACCTGGAGATCATAAAGCCAGTTCAACATATAGAAGTTGATTGAGAAGTGATTATTATGAGGAAATCACTTTACCACTTGAATATCGCAAAGGACATCTGGGGAAGCCTGTAGGAGTAAAGAAAACCACGCGCATAGACAATAGTTGGAAATGTTTCGGATGAAGCAAACGAGTGTCATGAGGCTTGCCATGTTTACACATACCATGTGACCTTTACTCCAGAAATGATGGCCGATGAGATAATGCAGAGAATGTGGGACGAAGACGTTGTGGGAATTGCTGATCAAAACAAGCGCTTGACAACAGAGGAGGTGCTTGCTGCGCGCAAAGACACACAATCAAGGCGTTGGGTTGAGGGACTCTGAAGTGGCAATTCCATGGAAGGACGATGATACGCCGTTGTGTTCAAAGAGAAAGACTGCTGGAGACCGGCTTATCTCTTGAGAAACACCTTCAGGAAAGGCTAGAGGTTGCTGAGAAATACTGCCAGGTGATAGAAGCCAAGGTATAAAAGAGTGAATCCAAGGGTTACATCCTGAGTTACATGCAGTTGGTACCCACCTCATTTTCATGTAATGAGAGAAGACAAAGAGACTACGAAAGTGAGGATAGTCTACTAATCAGTAACCATATACGGAGGAATGAGTCATAATAGCATGTTCCCTGGACCAAAGCTGAGCAAGATGTTTTTTTTCATGCGCTATTGCGTTTCCGCAGTTATCTTGTGGCCCTGGTAGCAGATCTGACGGAAATTTTCTCACAAGTTACCATGGCAAGGAAAGACGGAGGGTACCACCCCTTCCTGTGGGGTTAGAGGTTACACCTCTCTAGGCTTCCAGAAGTCTAAGAAGCGATGAGCTTGACGTTCGATGACCGCGCCTCACTTTACCTTGCCCAGTACGTTGTGCGACAACATGCAAAAGATTTCAGGAATGACCATACACTAGCAATAGCCATAATCCTATTACAGGTGTACGTAGATGACATTATCTCGAAACAATGGTGGTCCGAAATCTATATAGGTTGTTTAAAATAAAGCTGAGTTAAAGTATTAAGTGTCAAAAAGTCCACAAGGCGGTAAAAAATACAACAAAAGTCACGAGTAATCTGTTCCGTTTTCTGAATTTTATGCAGCGATTTATGCGATTTAACGATCGATAACGAATTAACAATTTTTCATGCAACGATACCCACCTGAGACTGTGTTACCTTAAGAGTCCATAGAACTTCTCAGAAGATTCCTCGGAAAGACCACCAGAAGGAAATGAATGAAGAATTTGAACTTATAACCGTAACAATTTCACTTGCCGCCAACTGGCAAAACGAAAACAACTGTCGATCTCCCACAGGCAAACCAGCTTTCACTGCAGTCATGCAAAGCATGTCAAGTCACGTAATTCTGCTTCGCGCATTTGGGAAGGAGGGAAGAAATTCTTCCACGATGTGCGCTAAAACACTTATGAAATAAAACTAGCTTTGGACTGTTTCTTTTGTAACTAGTTAAAGAAAAGAATAACTTTCCCCCCAGTTTTTACGAAAACGTCAAATATGAAACTTTTGGCCTTAAATTTACCAAAGGATGCACCCTTCTTGCTCGAGGGGCGCTATGCATGCTTCTTCTATTTTATCTGCCGTTTACAATGATTGTGTTTCAAGTTCAGAACGTGCATCTATAGCTAGCAATTAGTGTGTTAGAATTACCGAATGCTGTAGAAAGGATATCAAATGGCACCAAAGCAGTCATGGCAGTGGCAGATCCAGAGGGATCCCCCCCCCCTCTTCATCAGACCTGATACTTGTTTGAGACTAAAATCCTTACAACGATAGGATCGTATATCTCTGTTTAACTGGCTGAATTTTTTAATGAAACGCGTGTTGTATTTTGCCACTAAACTAAATTCCAGGGATATTCAAAAATGTGATTGATTTGGGTACCGCAGTATTTCCCGCCCCAACAGCGACTAGCTCTCACAGATTGAGAAACACATAGTCGTCTCTGCCTTCTCAGTGACTAGTGGGAGGGGGTGTGGGGAAAAAGTAATTTGCCACAAAAAAGTTCAACAGTCCTTTCTGAACCAAAATTTGGACCACACCCTCCCCACTCCCCTGGATCCGCCCCCCCCCCCCCCCCAAAACGTTTACACACGTTGAGAGCCAACAAAGGGTTTTTGTTGGGGGGGGGGGGGGGAAAAATTTTTTTTTTTTTGTGTTTTATTTGTTTTATTTTTGTGTCATGAAAAACACAATATTTTTTTATATTTTTGATTTTTTGATATTTTATAGAGAATAACGGTGTCAACGTTTCCCCCCCCCCCCCCCCCAAAAGATGTTACACTGAGTTCGAAGCCAATCAAGGTTTATGCTGGCGCGTGGAAGGAAATCAATTTTTTTTTTCGAGTTATATTAGAGTTTCACTTGTAGTACGAAAAACACAGTATAATTTTACATATGTAATATTGTTAAATAATTGCCCGATCATAGGTATCCTAGCGGAACAAGAGACATATTTGTTGCGAGCCTTTCTAATTATTCGGTTTTCTGTGGTTCGGTGGTTCCTTGTGTTTAAACGTCCCGACTAAAAGCTAACAACACGGAATGAGCTCTTCCGAAGCCAATGAACTAGTGGCCAGATCCGGATCTCAAAAAAAGATTGTGATAAGTAAAAAGGACAAAATCGAAGGAACTGATCGGCGAAAAGAGAAAATAAACCCATTACAAACAAAATTAAGAATATACATGATATCATTTTTTCCGATATTAGTCGGTTTGCAACACAAACCTTTGTCGGGGGCTGATACTGTGGGGTCGTTACCAAGATTGAATTTAAAACTAAAGTACATAATTGTAAATATAGTTGGTGATTACAAAGATAGTCTAATAAACCCGAACTGACGCAAGTAAGGAACCAAAAATAACCACCTGGCCCTGGTTGATCAAACGACCGATCATTTTTCCAACGGATACCGTGTGGCACGAATTTTTTGCGGGAGTATATTTTCGTGGATTGGCGATTTTTTGTGTTTTTCGGACCACCATTGTTTCGAGAAGTTACCGAATAAAAAAAGGTTTGGCGCCTACAGTAATTCGCATTTGGTTGTAACTTCGGTCAGAGGTCACGTTTTTTCGCCCGTTTTTACTGTAACATTTACATTTGCTTCGCTTTGTCAGCGCTCGTGATTTCATTTACCCAAAAATTTTATTTCGCTAATTTGAAGAAAAAAGAATGCTCTTTCAGGCTAAACAAGCCTTGATGTTCAAAGCCATGTACCAATGCGCTTTTTTAGCTCGTGAAAAAGTGCTAAATTTAGACGGTTGATTAAGCGATTTTGAGTCAACAACTTTGAAAATTTCTCAAAAAATCTCTTGTTGACCAAATCGCAAACTAACCAGTTAAAATTATAGAGGAAAGATAGTAAAAGTATGAAGTGTCATTATATTTTAGTAGCCAACTTTATTTTAAAATATACGAGCCACTGAATATGACTCTAATTTCGCAAGATTTTTGCCCATTTTAGGCCTCGGGAAGAAAAAAATTCGTTAAAAAAAATCTTATTCACTCGATCGTACTTAAACCAACGATTTTGTAATTAGAGCACATAAGGTTTTATTCTGGCTGAGTTTGAGGCCAAGTCGTTTTTTGACTATTTCCTCGCCTAGTTGATAATTACGCGGAGCCACTCTCAATACCCAAAGGAAATGGAGGGAGACGACGGACAACCTAAAAGTTGGGGATGTTATATTCGTTGTCGATCAAAAATGCTCCAATCGATCTTTGGTAGTTTTTCCGCATCAGGATGGACAGGTACGCTTGTGCAAGTGAGTATAAGGGGCCAGAAGCTTATCCACCCAATAACACGACGCTGACCAGCCATAGTCCAAAAGAGAGGAGCTGGGGATCCGGAGCTCCTTGTAAGCGCCAGGTGATACCCCTGCGTAGGGGACCGCAACTAGTCAAGTAAAAAGTTCCCTGAGCACATAGAAAATTGGCTGTTGTGTGTTCTTGTTTGAACCCGCCTTTAGAACAGAATTTCTCACGCCTGAGAAAATCCATGTGGCGAGTTTCATACGGCCATGTATGTTTCCAGATTTCCGCAGGTATACCACACCTTCCAGGGGCTTTACCTTCCTTTGCTGCGTTGATGGCATATCCAACAGTTCCTTGAATTCATGCTTTTCTTCAAGGCATGCAATGTTTACGGGTAAGCAAGTAGAACTATGCCAGGAAACGCGTCAGCGAAACAGGGCAGCACGACATCAGTATATGCATTTCCTTGGAATAACTGCGAGTTTGCTCTATTTACGCCCACTTTTGGGTCAGCTCTAATGTTCCTCCCCGAGAAGGGACTTTTTGGGGGCTTATTTCTCAAACAGCGACGGGTAATCAAGCCTAACTGCAAGTCAAAGTTACTCAAACTCAGGGGCTCTCAGGGGTTGAGTTTTTTCGAACTGTTATCAGCGAAACACCTGTAAAAGAGATTACATTTAATATTAAATCGGTGTTAGAAATATGTTAACGATATTACTTACAATCGGAAATATGCAGCAAGAATACTAGGAAAAACACTCGATTTGTTAAAAAGCAGGGACCGCATGGAATCGTTGGGTAATAATGACGTCTCAGCCCTGAACTCCCCCAATTATGAAATGGTTAGGGAAGACGTAAAACAGAACTAACTTCCCGAAGGGACCGCTTGAGTTGATTTTGTGACATTCACTGCACTTTTATACTACTACTGTTTTGCGTTTTGACTGTTGAGTGAAATTCTGTGAGGCAGCTGTTTTGAAGCTATTAAAAAATGCAATTTACATTTCTCTGTCTCATTTTGTTCTCTTAAACAAGCGTCATAAACTCTGTCCACGAAAGAGAAACTCTCGAGTTTCACCAAAATTATGGACCGAAAGACACTCGGTAAGCGTGGACTTACGTTTTGAGAGGCGAATAACAGTGTATAAGCACTTTGAGGGTTTGCCAGACACATGTTTATCATTCACAAATCTTCTTTTGCATTAGGTCTCCCTCACTACATGAAACTCATCCTAATGCAATCGAATCGGGTAAATCTTTGATTGGAAACGATTTTACAGACACAAATCACTTTGGGGAAATTATTGAGAGGCTCAGTCTAAAAACAAGAAAGTTGCATTAAGTGAACGCTTGAATCAAGCTAGCATATTAGCAGAAGGATGCACAATTACTGAAAATTGCCTACAATTCATTTCTGTGCTGACATATTCCCTCCTTACAAATTTCTCTATCCATTTCCAAAATCATTCTCCGGCTGTTAAAATGAATTGCATGTAAGAAGTGCGAGAGGAATAAAGGAAATTACACCTTCTAATAAAATATTTCCTTATAGTTAAAAGAATTCTTGAAACTGAGAGTGTTTTGATCAAAGCAGCGTAAATCGATTTGAATCAGTGCATGGAATCTTGCGTTTTCTGTTTTTATCTCCCCAATATGACATCAATATGAATCTGTAAATTTCAAGGAGCTACACAAGAGTCATACAAAGGCAAAGGATACAATTGACCAAAAGGGGCGTTGTAATGTCAACTACATTAAACACCTGCATATATATAAGAACCAACATCGCAACTCATATGTTTACCTATATTAGAAATCGTATTTGTTTCTCTTTTCATTTGAAATTTCCTTGTTTTATATCGATGAGAGTAATATGTTGAGGACGTTTCCCCTTTATCAACTTTATTTGCAGAACCTTCGACACCATCGTCACAAAAGACCACAAACTCAACTTCAAAAGGTCAGTGATGTTAAGGGGTGGTCACTAAGTATAGTGTTACAATGGGACTAAACGCAGTGGCGGATCCAGACCTTGAGATAAGGGGGGGTGGTCTTAAAAAAGTTTTTTTCGGCCCTTCGGGCCTCAGTTTGGTCCAAAACTATCGGGGCGGGGGGCCTTCCCTGAATCCGCCACTGAATTGCCAACCAAATCTTAAAATAGTATCCAGATCTTATCGTTTTTCAAATAATACGAAACAGTGGAAGAAAACAGAACCACCCTGAGTCGCCGGACTGTTATGGGAATTCAAAAGTAATTACCGGGTGTCAGTAAAACGCGGAGGCGCGGACGCGGTCGGGGTCTATCTCTTTTTTTATAGAATACCGTTTTAAGGTTAGGATTAGAGTTATGTTCGGGTTAGGGTTAGTGTCAACCCGAACCCTAACCCTAACCCTAAAACAGCATTTTTTAAAAAGAAGATAGACCCGGACCCCGGCCCCGACCCCGCGTTTTACTGACACCCGTAATTACCAACGAGTTGCATCGTGCTCCAGTCTAAAGACACATTTTCACAGATTAACACAACATAGTGTATTAATCCCGGGTAGGCCTTTCGCGATTGTGCTCGGCAACTTTTGAGCAACTTTTGGCATTTGGAGCAAATTTTTGCCGTTCTAGCAACCTCGGGCTTTGCCTTTCTGAGCAACTTTTGAGCAAAATATAGGTTTAGTGGCCCCACGGTTTAAAGCACATATCAAGCACGAAAAAGTCAACGATTTCATAGAAAACTTCACTGTTTTTAATTTCATTTTTAATTTTTTTTAATTTTTTTAATGTTTTGTTTTTATTTTGTTTTTATTTTTTTTTCTTGACCGATGTTAGTATATAAAAATATCAAGAAATTTAGGTGGCAACTTTTGAAATTTGGGTAGCAACTTTTCAGCATTCCATCCCAGAGAGTAACTTTCCAGCATTTTACGAGCACAATCGGGCGGACACTCCCTATAATGGCATATACGGAGGGCTCAAAAGGGGGTACCTTTTTCATGCATTAGATCGATGAAAGGGTAGGGATTTTACTTGTTAAACTATATGAAAGGGTGGGTCTATCTCAGCGATCGTCGTCGCTGTGATCTCTGAAAAGTCAGGTTTCCATATGATCGCTATGATCGCTGCGATAGCTGAACTTTTTTTCCCAGCGATCGCAGCAATCAGAGCGATCGTAGCGATCACATGGAAAACAGGCTTTAAGCTCCCTGTTAGCCTGCGTCAAGTCGCAGACATAATGTACCAGTCAATAACAAAACTACCCATGCCCCCGCACAGACCCCTGGGAATCTGACTTTTTTTGAAAGGTTTTGGTCAAATTCCCGGGTATGTTGGCAGTTCAGATGGTCAAATACCCCACCGGCTACCGCTTCAAAAAGTGTCAAATCCCGCATTCTACCAGCGACTATTCATGGTCAAAAATTTTCCCATGCGTCAAACCATTTATTCAAATCTAAATATCCTCCTAAAAACAACCGAAATATCTCAAGTCTAGGAAAACTGTCTTACGGAGATTTGTTCATTCCAATAACATTGTTCATTTCAGAAAGCCCGCATTTAACGGGCTCTTTCAAGTCACATACTAACGGCCGCAATTTTGGGAGTTGTTGGCCAACAATGTTTCGTCCGTTTGCACGTAGCTTCAAAGGCTCTCAAATACTCCAACAAAACAGTGAATATAGGAGCAATGACGTCAATAATCCTTGAACGTGATGTACACGCTGAACGAAACGCTGACCAGCATTTTGACACGAAAGAAAATGCCCGACAGGGCGGGCCTCATTTTGGGTCAAATCCCTCACTGTACGGAAAAATGCCCGGGGTATACCCTTGGGAAGTGGGAGGTTTTGGAATTGACTGGTAAGTAATCTAACCCTTGTCGCAGGCTAGATAGATAGATTAAGGCTCGGTACTGATAAACATTCGGCTGGTGCACGATATACCAAGTGAATAGCAAGTCTCGAGTTACGTCACAAAGAACACAACAATGATCCTTATCCCTTACACAATAACACAATAGACTTCACACAATAGAAAGAGACAATAGTGCATATATTGACTTGGTATATTGAGCATCACCCAAACATTCGCTCATTTGTTTAACAACCACGTTTAACTGAATCTGGATTTTTAATTTCTTTGTAGTAGCAACAACCGGCCAGGGTAACAGCAAGTCAGCTGACAAGTGGGTTCTCGCGATTGCGGTTTTAACGTCTGGAGTTGGCCTTGTTTTGATCGTCTTTACGGCGTATCACTTTATTAGCAAAAAGTCTGGCAAAGGATACCGCGCGTGTAAACGTAAGATGACATCCAATTATTATCAATTAAAGGGAATCACTAAAAGGGGCTTTGTCACGAGGATACTTGGCTGAGATCATTACTTAATGCCTCACAAAATACTCAGTTAGAGATAAGAAGAAGATTCCACACAAATTTTATCAGGGAGCTGCAGTAACCATAATATTTTTTGGCGATTTTTTTGGGCAGAGCATCAAAACTTAAACATGTTGGTTTTAACTGTTTAAGCTTTCAATCCATGTCCATCCTTGCCATCCGTTTCAACAGAAGACAGGAAAAAATTTCAATGCCTAAATTACATAATTCTATAAACATATTACATATTCCTATGAATGCTACATTACCTAAATTACACATATGTAAGGCTACCATACCAGAGGCACCCCACAACTGTTTTCTGTAAACTAGTTGTTCGGAGAAGCAAATATTGCCTAGAATTTTCTATTACTTGAGGACGACTAAAAATTTCGAGATTACCGTTCCATTCATGTACAATTTTCGAAGAATTTGCACATTTTACTTCCCGAGTTACGCTATTTTTTGTAGAAAAAAGGGAACCTAAAATTTTCGAATTCAAAAATTTCAAATTTCACCTAAAATTTTCGGAAAAATAACCCTCACGCCCTTGTAGTTTCAGAAAGACTCAAGTTTCCCTAGGATGACCGAACAGATACAAAGTTTATAGTGCCGCTGAGAATGCATTTTTAGAACTCTGGATAGCCTAAAAAGTGTTTTCAATGTATTTAGGAGGAAACCATAATTGGGTGCCCCTGCCATACTACCTAACCCAACACGGTCACACTATATGGGACTTTTGCAGGGAATCAGACGAGAGAAAATTAGAAAAGCTTCAGGAAAGGCCGCACCGTATTTTGCTCAATAGCTAGTAACTCGTTTACTTATAATGAACTGTTAAGGAAATCCAATCTCAGCACATTTCATAACAGGCGACTGCAAGATATTTCAATTACTTCGGTTCAAATATCATATGGGTCTATTGCCTACATATTTGTAACTAAGTTCCTGGGCCCAATCGTTCGAAGGCCGATTAGCGCTTAAACCGGGGTTAAATTTAACCCAGGTTTCTTTTTCTTGTGTTCAAAAGTTTTTTCTCGGATAATTTTCTCTAATATTTTTAGAGCTTCCAATCATCAGCTTGTAGACAAAAAAATTAAAATTGAAATGCTTTTTAAGCTTTCAAATCTTAATTCAAATCTCGCACTAACCCTGGGTTATCTTAACCCATCTTTGAACAACTCGGCCCTGAAGTACAATTTAAGAACTGAGAATAATATCCAGATTCAACACTGTCAGATATGGTAAACATTCGGAGACATTTTAGACCATACCTACGGTCTAGACTTCCGAAAGAAATTAGAAATATCTCATCGTTCAGATCTAGAATTAGAAAAACAAACATAGCGGAACTGGTTAGTAATTCTAACCGTCAGAGCTGCTATTTACGACACTCTTAATTTATTTTTAGTGCTTGTATTCTTATATATAGCGATACATTCTTATCACACATTTTATACATCCAATTTACACCACTACATTTATAATCTTAAAGTGGAGAGTGTTACAAAAACTGCTTGGTAGGCCTGTGTATTGTGAAATAAATGATCAATGATTGTCACCAAACCAAGATACCCGATTTCCCAGGGTCATCTAAGTCCCCTGTTCAGTATTTAATAACTATATGATATATATCTCAAATTGTTTTAAGGCGAATCGTGAGGAGGAATCCTAGTAGCTGGAGCGTATATATACGTAGGAAAGTGCTAACAGTGGAAATATGCAGTCAGTATGTCGGAAAAAAAATCGATTTGTTAAAAAAAAAACACATAATAATATATAATAAACGATGTTGTTTGTTTGTTTCGCAGATGACTTTGAAAACGGAGTTAAGAGCCATCAGCTTTTCGTCAGCTATAGCTCCAAAGATATGGCCTGGATCAATGAAAATCTGATTCCCATTCTCGAAAACAAAAAAATATCCTACAGCATTCACACCCGAGACTTTGAGTTGGGACTGCCTATCGTCCAAAACATGGCAGACAGCGTCTACGGCAGTCGCAAAGTTCTGATTGTCTTGTCCGACAACTACCTCGCCAGCAACTTCTGTCGAGAAGAGCTGCACATGGCTGTCCAAAGGGAGGCAGACAGCCGAGATTCTTCGCTTATTCTTGTGGCGATTGACAAGTTGAAGAAAAAGAAGTTGCCTGGTGCTTTGAGAAACAAGCATTTGCTTGACTTTGAGAAGCTTAAGATAAAACAGGATTGGGAGAAAAAGTTGTTAAATGTGGTAGCAGGCCCAGGGGCCAAAGTTGCTTAATCTGCCTCATCACAAATGTTCGTAATGTAAGCTAGTTTCTAAGATAACTAATTGCCAGTTCAATCATATCGAATCTTGATAGTTTGACCTAAGCCATAGATCAAGTGCAGAAATAGTTGGCCAGTACTGTTTAGAATCGAAGCAGCTTATGAGTCAGTTAGTTCCAAATGTTTTCAAAAGCGTTCAGCTAAGTTCATGCAGATGCATGCACTTTCGAACTAAGATAAGTGCGCAGACTCAAAAAGTAATAATAAACGAAAAAAAAGGTAGCTTAGCACCACTAACAACCGACGACTGCAAAAATAAGTCAAAAGCTCTCACCTTTTTACTTTGCAGGCCGTCACAAGTTAGAATCACCTTGTACCGCATCGATACAGCATTTGAATAGCACCATAGGAAAGTACTACTCCGTAGCTTTCATTAGAATGTAAACGCTTTACGATTTTACCCACTGGAAACCCAAGAGTCATAGATAATCTTGAAGATTAAGAATTGAATAGGTGCTGCACAGTAGTCTTTCATTTGTATGGCCTCAGTCTATAGCAGTTTAGTCCACAGGCTTCGAGTATCGTTTCACAGTATAATGAATAGCGCCATAAAAAATGAGTACGAACAGCTCTCACCAGAATTGCCAGCTTGCTTTCCAAGTGTCATTCACGACAGACTAGTGGGTTTGAATCTCGCTCTATAAAGTGATGATTTGGTCATGATGTTTTTTTGGAATACCGGAGTTTGCTTTCAGTTTTACACGAGAGAATAATCATGTAAAAGCAGTAGAAAATGACGAAACTTTTGTAATGAAAGAGGCAAGGATTAGAATTTAAAGTAACGATTATAATAAGTAAAAATGTCATTTGTTTTTCCCCGTTGTAAGAAATTAATCACATAATTGTTTATTTCAATTACTGTAGAAATAGTATGCTGAATGTATGTATTTAATTATTCATTATTTGATTAATTATTGTAGTTATTATTATTATTATTATTTAATTTTATCATTATTTAATTTGATAATTATTTAATCAATTGCTGTAGTAATAGTGTGTTGGATGTATTTATTTAGCTATTTAATTAAAATCAGCGTACAAGAATTAGGCTAAACACCAGCCGATTGTTGGGCTGTTTGTAGATTATTGAAATTTTTAATTTGTAAAATGGATATGACGATAAAAAGTTGCAATAAAATACACGAAGGGAACGGTCGTTGTTTTTCCTTAACCTTTCATCTGCAATGTAAAAATTTGCGGCAGCAAACCGAGAGACATTTTGTGACTTTACTCGTATTTAATTTTGTCTTCAACAACAACATTGAAGTGTCTCTTGGACAGCTCAGGATGCAGAAGCCCCCCAAAAGAGACACCAGGGCAAGGTTAGATAAGAGGGCTCTTAACTTTTGTTCTGGAACAATAACCTATTGTACGAGAACGCAACCCCTTATTTCCGGTGGGTGTTCTGTGCATTATTGGGTGCTCTGTGCAATTAATAAGCGAAGTTTTTTGAGATTGCATTTGTGTTGACACACATTTGCCTCGCTATGAGGCGCCTGCTTACGTTTTGCCTCACTTTGACGCGCTAACTCACTTGCATTGGTGATTCGTGTGCCTTCGGCGCTCATCTTTCAAACGTTTGCTGAGGTCAGCTATTCTGTCTTCGTAAGGCGTTCATCTTTTAAAAGTTTGCTGAATCTTCGTAAAGCGTACACGATGCAATAGTTTGCTGAAGCTCTCCTATCGTTCTGTGTTTGTTGAATCTTCCAAAGCGTCATCTTTCAAAAGTTTGCCGTTAATTTTACATTGGATTAAACCTTCAACTCACATTTTTCAGCATGGTTCGTCACTGTCTTAAAAAAATGTGTGCGAAACCTGCTGTATCCATCAAACCAGGTTGTTTGGCTCCACGGCCGTTGTTCCACAAAGTAAATTTACCAAGTTGTGTAGCTCGGTGGAAGTTGTGCCCGAAAGTAAATCTACCGACTTTTGAGGCTCGGCGGCCGTTGTTCCACAAAGTAAATCTACCGAGATGTGAAGCTCGGCGGCGCCATTTCATGATTACTGGCTCTATGTTATTTATTCGGAAAAACTTATAAACCAGCCCAAAGTAACGCCATTCAAGTCGCTCAAATCAACACACTCGACTTAATTACTGGAAAAGGTATTGACGTGAGCCGCACACACATTCCACCGAAGGCCTTGATGATTCCCTTGAAACGTGTGAAATTGAGAGGCGTAGTGCAAGTGAAACAGTGTTTAAACACAATTCATTGTTCCCCAGCGCTCACCAAAAAAATGTGGTTTTGAGTATTTAATATCAACAGAAGTTAAGAAGACTTGCCATTAACGCTTTCACTTTATAGTATTTTTCGGTAATTGTCTACATGTGGAATTCCCAATAAATAAATTAATAATTAAATCTCAAACGTTGTCAACTGTTTGCCTTTTAACAATACCTGGGCCGGGTTGTTCAAAGCCGGGTTAAGATAACTCAGGGTTAGTGCGAAATTTGAATTCAGATGTGGAAGATTAAAAAGTTAATTCAGTATAGTTCTTTTTGTCAACAAGTTGATGACTGGATGCTCTTAAAAATAATAGAGAAAATTATTGCTCCCTATGATGGCCTGTACCGGAAGGCTCCTGCCGAAAGGGGTACCTTTTCCAGGCTTCGGATATATGAAAGGGTAGGGATTTTACTCGTTGAAGCATACGAAAGAGTCGGGAAATCTGTCATTTGAGTCTGTGAAAGGGATCAAAGGGCTAACAGATGAATTATGTGGCTTTAAAAAGGCGAGAAAACCTTTTATTCTTGTGATTGATTCCTATCTAAACGACAGTGCATTTACAGCAGTTAAAAGGGGTGCAACGTTCTAAACAAGGTATGTGGAAGGGGTACCATTTGTCAATAGAAGGTATATGAAAGAGGTACCTTTTTCGTGAAAAATGTTATATAAAAGGGAAAGGGGCTGGACCTCAGGGCGGAGCGTCCCCGCATAAAAATTTGTTGAGTAACCCTACCCCCCCCCCCCGGGGTTTCGCTTTCAGCAACCCTTACGTTCAAAATATGCCATAATCATATTTATCTATCGCAAGAACCATCCACCCTTCCCCCTCAAATGTTACCTGTACGCCTAACAAACATATCGAACGCACTCTCCTAAACTCCGATTACTCCTACTAGTTATAATAATAATAATAATAATAATAATAATAATAGTAATAATATAATAATAATTTAATTACTTATATTGCGCAGGTATTCATAAAAATGATCAAATGCGCGTTACATTAGTAATAAAAGCATGAAAAAAAACTGCAAACCTTTTTACAATAAGCAAACAATAAGAATATATACACTTCCGCAACAAAAATCTAAAATATCGATATGTAACAATTAAAATTCATTCAACCATAAGCAAACTTGAAAAGGTACGTCTTAAGAGTGTTCTTAAAAGTATGCAAGTTTTGAATATCGCGAACCTATCGCCTAGTGTGACCTTAGTTCTAAATTTTGACGATGCTAGACGACCCTTGCGGCACCCCTTGTGCGAGCGGAAAGGTATCTCACAGCCCTCCATTAACTGCAACACGCTTTGTACGGTCGGAGAGGTACGATGTAAACCAGTTGAGTGCCTGGTCAGTCACACCAAGTCTTGACTTCAACCGATCCAGCAATATGTCGTGGCGTACAGTATCGAAAGCTGCGCTGAGATCTAAAAGAGCCAGCAAGGTCACCTTGCTGTAGTTCTTCACTTTTAAAAGGGCTGATTCAGTACTATGATGTTTCTTGTAGGCCGAATGTAGCTCAAGGTGCAGACCATTGATCGTCATATGATCAATCAATATTCCATTTTCGAGTTCGCTATGACCGCTGAATTAAAGAAGTGAAGACGCATTTTTTACAGTCTTAGCCTCAATCTGAAGTAATATATTCACAAACTCCAACGATAAAACGACGTGTTTATTACTCTGTCTATTTTGTATATTCAAATTGAAAACGCTTACTTGCCAGAATTTCTGAATATTTTACTTTACGTTGAGGCTAACCCTGTATAAATGTGTCGTTAATGTTTATATTCAGCGGTAATTTTTAATTCGAAACTGGACTATTGATCAGCAGCTACTCTTTCAGATAACTTGGAGATATACGGGAGTTTGCTTACTGGACGAAAGTTTTTGTACGCGATGTCTAGACCACACTTCTTTAACGTGGGTAATACGGGGGCCTGCCTCCATTCCTCTGCGAACAGACCAGATTCAAACGACATGTTGATCATACAGGTGATTACCGGTAACAGCACATCAAGAACCTGTGAACCAGAGATGTAGGTGGCGGATCTAAAGGCCAAGATTCCATGGCTGCCTTTCCAATAATCAAAGAAACTTGATCTTGTGTCAAGGTCTTGAAGCTTGGGAACTCTACACATTCGCGCGGATCAGGATCAACACAGTTTGCGCATGCGCCCATGTTATCTGCGGACGCATCGCCATCGCCGTCAAGAGGCTCAGATGACCGAAGGGCGTCCAGTGAGTCATTGATAAGTTCAATCTTCTGTACTAAATAGTTGCCAAAATTATTAGCCAGATCATCGGGAGGTATGTGATCTGGAAACGGAACAT